CTCTCTCCAAACCAGGACTCATTTCACATCGTACGTGACGAACACCGACAATATGGTAATGCCTCCAAAAAAAGTTACGGAAATGAAAACCGAGAAATAGATCAAAAGGACAACCTTTTTTTCAAAATTAAATCACAATTTACTAATTTTCACTCATTTAGACTAAAAAAGAAGTTGATGAATTGTAGACCAAAATGCCTAGTTCAATTACCTGCAGCTCTTCTCGTGTTGTACCCTCTGGCGGCACAGCTAAAAAGAGTTGTACTTCAGGAGATCCATGCTCAGCATACATATCTCCCTCATGGGTCAGCACCCATCTTTCTCTCTTAATATCCTGCACAATTTTCACAAACCGAAACTTCATCAACAAAATGAATTTTGCAATTGGTTCAACTTTTCCTGCCCATCAAATATCAATACTTCAACTGTAAAATTGATCACTACACTAACATTCATCTAACGGGATGAGATGCATCCATCTTTATTTCCCTTAATTAAATAAATAATCCAGATAAATTGACAATCGTGCTAATACTCCAAAACCCCCATTTTAAAAAAAAAATGAAAAATTGAACTGCATTTTAAGTTTATTACATCAAAAAATTGAAAATTTCCGCAGGGAAAACTGATTGACCTGAGCGTCGACGAGACGGAAACCGTTGAGGCTTTTGATGATGTTGACGATTTCATCGTGGCTGATTCCTTTCTCTTCGGCGAATATTCCAGAATCTGAAATCTCCTCGTTCTTCTCCAGGTATCCCAGCACCGCTTCTTCCGCCATTACTTCTTCTCGGAAATTCAGCGCCGCCGCCGCCAACAACTAACAGTGGTTTGGTTTGTGTTCGGAGAAAAAACCCACTGATATGTATATATATGTATATTTATGTTTCGTGAATATGAAAAAAAGTTTTACACGAAAAAGAAAATAAAAAAAAGTTTTACTCAAAAAAGTAAATAACCCCAAATTTGGGTAAATTACAACCTCACCCCTGAGGTATGTCAAATTACGAAAATCCCCCTTCTGTTTGGGTAATTACAACCGCCCTTCAACTATAAATCTTCTTACACGTCCACCCTTGCGGTGTCAAATTTAGTGGAGTCTTCTAGATTTTATGGAGTTATCTCAATTTTGAACCCGTTTTATCACATTCGAGCTCCACATTTTGAAGCTAGATGATCATAAGAAGTGTTTTTTGACTTGTATATATCAGATTGTGGTGCATCAGAAACTTTATTTTTGCGCAAAACGAGTTCAAACTCGAGAACATTCCACGGAATCTAGATGATTATATTGAATTTGACACCACAAGGGTGGAGATGTAAGAAGATCCATAATTGAGGGATAGATGTAATCATCCAAACATAATGATTTCTTTTTGCAATTTCACCATACCTCAGGGATGATTGTAATTAACCCTAAAATTTTATATTTGATTTTCTCTTTTATTTATAATAGCTTATTGGCTACAAGTACTAACCCAAGTGGAATTGAATATTATAAATTAATAAAATTGACACTAGCAAAATTTTATTAATTTAACGAAACATTAAATATCGAATTAATCATTTAGTATATTTTTAACGAGTTGGGATCGGTAGAATTTTTTTATTTAAGCAATGTTATTAATTTATTTCTTATTGTAGTACTCTATTATCCTCATTACTTGATGAAATAGGTTAGTAAATGTTTGAATACCATAAAATACACCTAACTAGTTTTACACTCCACCTGTCCCATTTTATTTGTCTATTTGAATAGTTTTTTTTTTTTTTTTTGGTCTCGAATTATTTATTATTTTACAATTACAATGAAGTATTAATTGTACTATTTTCAATTTTACCATTTATTACTCTTAATTAATTAACTGAAAGACAATTAATCACAAGGGTATATTAATAATTTTCTAGGTTTTTCCAATATTCTATCAATAATATATACAATTTTATTGATTTTCTTAATACACGCACAACAACAAAAAACGACATATATAATAAGACAGATGGAGTGTTGTAGAAGAGACAATCATGCGCATAACTTGATAAATTTCATCAGGTGTGTCATATTGTATAATAATTTATGAATTATACACATTTACGTTTAATTTTTTTTTTGTAATATGTTTATCCGATCTATTTTCTTTTAATATTTAATTAACTTTGCTTTGTATAATAGAACCTTGCTAAGAGCATCTACAATGCTCATCCCTAAAACCCCTCCCAAAATGTGGATCCCACATGCCACATACACATTTAAATACCTCTTTATACAATGGGTCCTACTTAAACACTCCCCAAATTACAATCTACTCCAATGGGTTGGTTTTCTGTCCTCCCTAAAATGTCCTAAAATATTAAATTCTATTATAAATATAATAATTATGAAATTATATATATATATATATTTCTATTTTTTCAGTAAAATATATAACTATCATCAATTTATATTAATTTTTAAATGAAATTATTTTAATTTATTATATATAATGTTTAATTAAGTTGTGAATTATTTATTTTTGTCTATTTTTATAATTATATAAATTGTATTTACAAATTTAAAATATTTACAAATAACATAAATTAACATAAATATTAATAACGTAAAATATTATAAATGAGTCCGGATAAAATTGTTGGAAGACCTCTCCAACTATAGGCATACAAAACATAATTAAAGATTTATGAGAAAGCCAATAAACTAGTTATTAGGATCTATAAATGTACGAGGAACAATACATGCGCTCACCAAATAAACATGATACTGCGCGTTTACTTCAAGAAGGTGAATCACGTGGATTTCCAGGTATGCTTGGTTCTTTAGATTGTATGCATTGGGAGTGGAAAAATTGTCCTACTGCTTGGCACGGCACACATAGAGGTCACCATCATAAACCAACTTTAATTTTAGAAGTCGTTGCATCCCAAGACCTTTGGATTTGGCATTCATTTTTTGGCATGGCTGGTTCAAATAATGATATTAATGTCTTAGGTCATTCTCCATTATTTGACAAACTCATACATGGCAGAGTGCCTCCAATTAATTATACAGTGAATAATCATTCCTATACAATGGGATATTACTTAACTGATGGTATTTATCCCAAGTATGCAACTTTCATTCAATCCATTCGTCATCCAACCACCATAAAAGAAAAATTATTTGCTAGAAAACAAGAGGCTGTCCGAAAAGATGTGGAACGTGCATTTGGTGTTTTACAAATTAGATGGGGCATAACACAAGGACCGGTGCGTTATTGGTCAAAAGAAGATCTATGTAACATAATGAAAACTTGCATTATCCTTCACAATATGATTATAGAAGATGAACGTGGAATGGGATATGAAATATGGAAACCTTTACCAGAAGAAAATATTTCCCCTCCTGAATATGGTCGAGATCCATCAATTTTAGTGTCTTGCAATCAGCACGCCTTGACCGAATTCGCAATCGAGGAACTAATGAAGTCTTGAGATCCGATCTTATGAACCATTTATGGAATATCTTTGGAGACGAAGATGTTTAATTTTTTTTTTTAATGAATTGTCTTATATTCTACGTGTGTTGTATTTGCTTTATTTTTTGATATCGTATTTATTTATTAATGTTTGATTTTAATTTAGTTTTGCTTTATTTTTATTCATTATTTCTTTTAATACTTTCTTAAATATAAGCATTATAAATTAATAAAATAAATATTATACAAATAACATAAAATTATTTTATAGTAAAGTAAAATAGAAAAGAAATTTATGGATGTAATACATATTTTTTATTTACAAAATAATAGCTACAAATGATTTCATAAATTATAAAAACAAAGAAAAAAAATAAGGAATCCAACAGTGCAAAACGTAGGAAATTTGTAAATAAATCACATGTAGGAAAATAATAAATAAATCACATGACCCCACAATGCTTTGTTAAGTGACTCCTATCTGTGGGGAGTTAGTTAGAATTTTTCAAAATTTGGGAAGCCATAGAGAGGCCTAAAATTTCCCACTACAGCAGGCCTTGCTCTCCAAAATTTGGAGATGGCCCAAAATCTGACACAAATAATGTGTTTAAATAGCCCATTGTTTGAATAATAGTTTTTTTTTTCTCAGTCCCAACTTAAGAACAACGCGCTAAAAAAATATTTCATTAAATTAATACAATTTTGCTCGTCTCAACTGTAATAATTTATAGACATTTAACCGTATAATTTTTCAATGAAATTAGTAAATTAGATATCGACAAGTTTGACATTACTTTTGACAAGTGTATCTAATTTGCTTGCTTCAACAATCCAAGTGGCTTAGTGAGTCAACGAATCAGTCTAGTGTTAGACCAACCTCCTGAGGTACGGTCAAATTACGGAAAAACCACTCATGTTTGGATAATTATAATTATTCCCTCAACTATGAATTTTTTTACACATCCATCCTTATGGTGTCAAATTCAACATAATTTTCTAGATTATGTGGAGTGTTCTCTAATTTGTATTCGTTTTGTGCAATATTGTAGTTTATGATGCATCGCAATCCGATATATACAAACCAAAAAAATACAACTTATAATCATCTTGCTTCAAAATGTGGAGCTCATTTAAAACGGATACAAAATTGAGAGTATTCCATCTATATAATATATAAATTGAAACCCTCATATCTTATAAATCCGACATTTGGCATCCATGTCATCGACACGTGTGAATCTACATGGCATCCTACTCATTTTACACATGTCATTATTTATTACTTTGATATCTTCTATTTTTATTTATCATCATTAATTGATGATTAGGCTAAACTTGCCAAAAATATTATCCGAATCATTAATTGCTATTTTAACATGGAAATAATATCTTATGTCATAACAATTTACCAAATATATTTAAAAAAAATCCATATTCCATGGTATCAAACTTTAATAGTAATCAATTAATATCAATTAAAATATTTATCATATTAATTTAATATGTAAAATATTCAATTTTGATTTTCATAGAATGTGTTTAACTAGTAATTGTCATTAATTTCGATTTATAGATTGTCGCCCATTATAGAATTTGATTTTTATTTTTTTTTTAACTATATTTCCGGATTAAAAATCCTACAATTTCAATTCAAATAAAAAACTGAAAACTCAACCCAAAAAAGAAAAAAATTATCCGTATTTGTGTATTAAGTGGTGTCAATTATTTCTATAGATAATTTGAATCAAATCAATTTACATTGGTTTTAAATATTTAGTAAGCTCTTCAATGCACATTTCTATAATTACTAAACATTTAGAATATTTCCTTATAAAATCAAAATCAATGTTGTAAATTGTAATAATGAAATGAATGCTTAATTTAAAATTAATTATCCTCATTTTTTTCATAATGTTATTTACACCCTATATATTATAAATATCAAAATCAAATCTTTTTTATTACAATCAAATCTCCGGAAATTTATTTTCACAATGAATATCACAGGAATTCATTATTTTGTCAATTAGTCATTATTCACTAAGTGTAATTTAAATTAATTTCCTCAATTATCTTCTATGGCATTAAATCTCTCTTTCCTTCATAACATTTTTCTTTTACTTTTTTATTCTCCGAAAATTAGTATAAAAACCCTCCATCCTAACACATTCAATCACATTCATACTCTACACCCCACTTTTTGGAATCACACGAAAACACTATAGAGTCAACACAATTTTTTTTTCATATTTGTATTCAATTATAGAGATTTACGTTTATTTTTGTGTAATTATTATTTTAGTTCGTTCGATGCATATTATTTTTTTCTCGAAATGTTCCGTTATAAATACCAATATAATTATTTTATTTTGGTTATAATAGGAGGAACATGTTGATCAAAT